TTATATATATTAATGTTGGTAAATAAACGCCTTTAAGCCAGCGTGTATAAATTAAGAGTTTAACTAGGCTCTGTAATATATAAATATAAATTTAACATATATAAGATAGGCAATAAGAGCCAAATCGCGGATGACAGTGCGTTATTCTAAACGAAACTAAATTTTTTCGTTAGAATAAATACCTGTGCACAAGGCACCAAATTTTTACTTGGACACGGCCAAGATATAAATTGGAATAATCTCTACAAGAGATTTTTAATTCCATGTATCCCCTATTCCCCTAAAGAAATAAAGTGCGAGAGAAAAATATAGATCCGAAAGTCGCAGAATCGGGAATCGAACCCGAGACCTTTCGCTTGCCGGGCGACTGCTCTTCCATCGGGTTCGATTCCCGATTCTGCGACTTTCGGATCTATATTTTTCTCTCGCACTTTATTTCTTTAGGGGGAATAGGGGATACATGGAATTAAAAATCTCTTGTAGAGATTATTCCAATTTTATATCTTGGCCGTGTCCAAGTAAAAATTTGGTGCCTTGTGCACAGGTATTTAATTCTAACGAAAAAATTTAGTTTCGTTTAGAATAACGCACTGTCATCCGCGATTTGGCTCTTATTGCCTATCTTATATATGTTAAATTTATATTTATATATTACAGAGCCTAGTTAAACTCTTAATTTATACACGCTGGCTTAAAGGCGTTTATTTACCAACATTAATATATATAACAGAGAAAAGTATAGAATCGAAAGGATCTGAATAGCTCAGTTGGAAGAGCAGTCGCCCGGCAAGCGAAAGGTCTCGGGTTCGATTCCCGATTCTGCGACTTTCGGATCTATATTTTTCTCTCGCACTTTATTTCTTTAGGGGAATAGGGGATACATGGAATTAAAAATCTCTTGTAGAGATTATTCCAATTTTATATCTTGGCCGTGTCCAAGTAAAAATTTGGTGCCTTGTGCACAGGTATTTAATTCTAACGAAAAAATTTAGTTTCGTTTAGAATAACGCACTGTCATCCGCGATTTGGCTCTTATTGCCTATCTTATATATGTTAAATTTATATTTATATATTACAGAGCCTAGTTAAACTCTTAATTAAATGTTATAAGTCTTGTTCAAGTATTTTGTAATTAAATGTGTATTGAAATTAAACTTTTTTAATACAAAAGAAAGGGTGACTTATCCTATTGTGTCGCGCGATCCTCTCTCACGCAGCGCGTTCGCGAACATATTTTTGGTCCTTCGAGCCGGATCCATCGTGCCGGCATCCGCAAGTTTGTGAACGTGTCTCTTGGTGCGGTCAGTGAGCTCGTAGTTCGACATGGATGTGAACACCTTGATCGATTGCCAACGTGAGGTCCAAGTCCGTATTTCACGCTCCGTGGAATACTTGAAGAAGCTGGGCACGACCAACATCACCGCCAGTGCCGTATCTACACGCATCAGGATCCTAGATCAGCTGTGGACGAAATTTGAGGCCCAGCATGATCTCATTCGCGCGGCTCTGAAAGAGAAGTTTAGTGACAGCGAATACTTCAAGTCGGAGTTGCATGGAGATACTGAAAATCTTTACGTGGCACAACGCAGTATCCTGGATGGCTACGCTGAACATTTCCGGAAGCCAAACGTATCTCCATCCGTCGACGTCGCATCAAAGTCGTCGCTGCCGCGCATCAAGTTGCCGCCGTTTTCTGGCGCCTACGCTGATTGGCCGTCATTTCGTGATCTCTTCCTGTCTGTTGTGAGCAGCAATTCCATCTCAAACATCGAGCGTCTTCACCACCTCCGCTCGTGTTTGACAGGTCAGGCTGAAAAATTCATAAGATCACTACCTGTCACAAGTGACAATTACGATCGCGCTTGGGCAATCTTGAACAAGCATTACGACAACAAAAGAGAATTAATCCGCTCCAACTTTGCCACGTTTACCGCCGTGCCAAAAATGAAGGGAGATACCGCCGAGGAACTGAGCCGCATCCACAACGCTGTCACCGCCGCCATCAATGCACAGGAGAGTATTGGACGTCCTATCAACTTGCACGGGATGGACCTGTTCAATCACCTGGTCATCGAATTGTTCGACGCACGCACTCGTCTCGAATGGGAGTCAGCCACGTCAGACTCCACCGAACCACCACAGAGCGAGGCACTTCTCGACTTTATTAGTCGACGGGTATTGACCCTCAACGCCGCACGACCGAGGAGTGTCACAAAGGGAACTGGAGAGGCATCGCGATTCGCCAAAGCGCACGTCACCAGACATCAAGGCACAGATTCGCCTCAGTGTGCACTGTGTCGTGAAAAACATACACTGATGACCTGCAGGGAGTTCAAGGCCAAGACCGCGGTCGAACGGAAAACATTCGTGGAGACCAACCGACTGTGCTTCAACTGCCTGGGCAATCACTTCTTGTCACGGTGTCAATCGAAGAAGAATTGCCTCACTTGCAACGCACGACACCACACCATGCTGCACGGGGCATCCACGTCACCACCGTCCGCTGAGGCCACTTCACTTGCCACCACACTGGCCACCTCACGGCAGTGTGAGAGTCACAAGGCCGTCCTTCTTGCAACTGCCCGCGTCAAGGTCGCGGACCGCTACGGATCACCACACGAGGTTCGAGTCTTGATCGACCAGTGCTCCGAGGTGTCCATCATCTCTGAAGCGCTGGCTTAACGTCTTCGTCTTCCTCGAGCTTCGACGAATCTGTCCATCTTTGGCATCGGAGGGACTCGCTCTGGATCGGCTCGTGGCAAAGTCACCCTGGACATCACATCCGACGTGACCAACGCCGAGCTTCGCGTGGTCGCCTTTGTGTTGCCTCGCATCTCACTACAACAAGGCACCGCTCAACGCGAGAATTGCAGCTGGCCTCACATCCAGGGACTCCGGTTGGCCGACCCGCGGTACCTGGATGACGACCCTGCGGAGCTACTTCTTGGTGCAGAGGTCTACTCGTTAATTCTTGAGGAAGGCCTTCGCAAGGGCGACTCACGCATGCCGATCGCCCAGCAGACCAGCTTGGGATGGATCCTGTCCGGAGGCTACGACTCAGCAGTCACTGACGGACATCGCCGCACGTTTCAGTGCACCGCCGACAACGACCTCGCTGACCTGGTGCGACGATTCTGGGAGCAGGAACGGGAGCCAGCAGCTGGGATCGTGCTCACCGCCGACGAAGCCAGATGCGAGGACCTCTATGTGCGCACAGTCACACGCACATCCAGTGAAAGATACGTGGTAAGGCTGCCATTTGCCTCACCGCCGACATTACTCAGCGAGACTCGTCGACCTGCAGAGCGCCTCCTGGAAGCAATGGAGCGGAAGGGAGCCCGTGATGCTCGGTTCGGTGATCTCTATCGAGACTTCATGGATGAATACGAAAACCTGCAACACATGGAGAAGGTTAGTACGTTTACGACAGGTTCTGGCCCCAGGTGCTACTTACCGCATCACGGGGTCCTCAAGGAGTCGAGCACGACCACGAAGCTCAGGGTTGTGTTCAACGGCTCCCAACGCACACGGTCCGGAGAGTCGCTGAACTCGCACCTCCTCACTGGAGCTAACCTCTTGCCAGCACTCGCTGACGTCTTACTCCGTTGGCGTTGGCATCGGTACGTTTTCGTCACGGACATCGAGAAAATGTACCGACAAATTCTTGTTCATCCGGAGGATTGTCGCCTGCAAACCATCCTGTGGCGCCACAACAGCTCAGACAATATCCGCGAGTACGAGTTGAAGACCGTGACCTACGGACTGGCGTGCGCACCCTTCCTCGCCATCAGGACGTTTCACCAACTTGCTGCAGACGAAGAGGCACGGTATCCACGCGGAGTCAGGGCGCTGCGACACGACTGTTACGTCGACGACGTGGTCACCGGTGCTGACAGCCTGGCGGATGCCATCAAACTCCAACAGGAACTACAGAGTCTCTGCATGGCGGGCGGATTTCCTTTGCGAAAGTGGGCTGCCAACAACCAGCAGGTGCTCACCGGAATTCCGCCGGAACATCGGCTTCAACGCGGACCGCGCTCGTGGGAAGGAGAGAGCCACGCCACCCTGGGTCTTCAATGGCATCCTCAAGGGGATTGGTTCTCCTTCACCATACGTCCGCGTTCAACCACCGACCTCACGAAGAGACGAGTCTTGGCCGAGACAGCTCGACTATTCGATCCGATGGGCTGGCTAGCGCCTGTCGTCATCCGAGTCAAAATTCTGATCCAGTCTACGTGGCTTCAACGGCTTGATTGGGACTCTCCGCTGCCTGATCAGGACGCACACCGCTGGAGACAACTGTTGAATCAACTTCCGTTGCTGGATCACATCCGTGTGGATCGTTGGCTCAGCACCGGAGATGACCAGTCGCAATTGCAGCTCCATGGGTTTGCCGACGCATCGGAGCGAGGATACGCCGCCGTCGTATACATCCGCAACGCTGCATCAGAGAAGACATCAATTAATCTGCTGATGGCAAAATCGAAGGTCGCACCAGTCAAGCAGGTGTCGTTACCTCGATTGGAGCTTTGTGCCGCCGCATTACTCACCACGCTCATGTTGCATGTACGCACTACCCTCGGCTTGGCTGCTACGCCGGTGCACCTGTAGTCCGACTCCAAGGTCACTCTTCACTGGATTCGCGGACACTGCACCCGCTGGAAGACCTTTGTTGCCAACCGAGTGTCGCAGATCCAGACCCTGCTTCCAGACGCTCATTGGAGACACGTCGCCGGACGAGAAAACCCTGCAGATTGTGCATCGCGTGGTGTTACACCTGAGGACTTACGCAATCATAAACTGTGGTGGACAGGACCTACCTGGCTGTCAGGAGACGAGGCTGCCTGGCCTGGTGCAGACATCGACGTCCCAGAGGATGACCTCCCTGAGCAACGAGTCACCAGCCTGGTAGTCAAGGCGCCAGTCTCTACCGAACCGGACTTTCTTCTGCGGTTCCCGACGCTGCAACGGCTGCTGCGAGTCACTGCGTGGTGTCGTCGATGGCTCAACCCGGTGAGACGTGACGCCAGACCTGGCCGTCCATTGCAGCCTGACGAGCTGGACTCCGCGCTGTTTCGATGGCTGCGAGTGGTGCAGGCGCTCCACTTTCCGACGGACGTAGCCGCGGCCTCTGCTGGACGCACTACTCCACCGCGAAGCCACCTGGTGAAGTTGAGTCCGTTCCTCGACGATCAAGGCGTACTGCGCGTCGGAGGACGTCTCAAAAACTCTCAACTTCCGCTCGATGAGAAACATCCGATGATCATCCCGGCGGCATCCTGGCTGACTCGGCTGGTGATCGATTCCTGCCATCGACGGACACTGCACGGGGGTGTGCAGCTGACACTCGGCCTGCTCCGCCTGCGCTTCTGGGTGCCTCGAGGAAGAACCGCCGTCAAGCAGCAGCTACATCGATGCGTTACCTGCACTCGATGGCGTGCTGCCACGCCACAGCCTCAGATGGGTAACCTTCCTCGGGACCGAGTAACGCCAACCCGACCGTTCCTCAGCACCGGCGTGGATTACGCAGGACCCATCCTCCTTCGGACCAGCAAGGGACGTGGACACCGTGCGCACAAAGGGTACATCGCAGTCTTCGTCTGTTTCTGGTCGAAGGCCACTCACTTGGAGGTTGTCTCCGACTACACCTCCGAGGCTTTCATCGCCGCTCTGCACCGCTTCGTCTCCCGCAGGGGCCTCTGTGCTGAGATCTACAGCGACTGCGGCACGACATTTATCGGGGCAGATCGTACGCTGCGAGGTCTCTTCGATGCAGCGACAGCCGAAGGTCATCGTATCGTCCTCGCCGCCACCGCTCAAGGAATCCGCTGGCACTTCAACCCGCCAGCGGCCCCGCACTTTGGTGGTCTTTGGGAGGCTGCAGTGAAGTCGACCAAGTTCCACCTCCGTCGGGTGATCGGCGAGACGACCCTCACGTTCGAGGAGCTGAGCACACTCCTCGCCCAGATCGAAGCTTGTCTTAATTCTCGTCCATTGCAGGCACTCTCAGATGACCCAGAGGACGTCTCGGCGTTGACTCCCGGTCACTTCCTCGTCGGGGCGCCGCTACTCGCTGTGCCGGAACCGTCATTGACAGGGCAGACGGTATCCACCTTGTCACTTATACGTCTTATACGTTAAATTTATATTTATATTACACAGCCTTGTTAAACTCTTAAATTTATACACGCTGGCTTAAAGGCGTTTGTTTACCAACATTAATATATATAACAGAGAAAAGTATAGAATCGAAGGGATCTGAATAGCTCAGCTGGAAGAGCAGTCGCCCGGCAAGCGAAAGGTCTCGGGTTCGATTCCCGATTCAGCGACTTTCGGATCTATATTTTTCTCTTGCATTCATTTATTTATTTTCAGTAGGGGGGTTAAAGGGGTATTGAAATTAAATCTCAAGTATGAGATTATTTCATATTTAAAATCTTGGCCGTGTCCAAGTAAAATTTGGTGCCTTGTGCACCGGTATTTAATTCTAACGAAAAATAATTTAGTTTCGTTAGGATAACGCATTGTCATCCGCGATTTGGCTCTTATTGCCCGTCTTATACGTTAAATTTATATAATTAAATTTACTCTTATATGTCTCTCTCTCTCTCTCTCTCTCTCTCTCTCTCTCTTCTCTCTCTCATATATAATTATATTATTTACACTTTGTTCTCCCATTTGCAGCGGCTATAACCCTTTTTTCGAAGGAATCGTCTGTTAATCTATTATATTTAGCTACATTAATCATAGTAGCGTACGAAAAAAGTTTCTCTACTGGCGCTGACGAAGGTAAGCAAGTATTATATTTAATAAATAATTGTTTAACTTGTGGATATCGATCTAATACATCTAAGGTCTTAATTGGGTTGTTTAGAAATTGTAATATTTCTAGCGAATTCTCCCCTTGGCATGTAAAAATTTGCGATCTTCTATTAGACTGCATAACGTCTTTGCCAAAATCATAAAAATCATCTAATTTTGAGTCCATGTTTTCTTCTGGAACTTCAAAATTTTCATTATTATTAATGCTATGTTGATCAATTGCACTTTTCTGTTTTTATCGTCATTTAGGCAAACTAACCATCTATCTTTAAATTGTGGATGTGTTATCGCAACAAGAGCAGCAGCTTCTCCTTGTCCATGAATTTCAAAAAAATCTTTAAATCTATCTAATAAATGTAACTGCATTCCTTCTGCCAACTTTTTACAATATATAAGTTCGTTGCTTCTAAGCATTGTTGTCCATTTATTATTTATGCTTAATAAAAGTGGCACTAAGCAACCATAATAACATGTAGTCTCGGCTTGAATTTTATCAATTCCAATAGCTAAAGGTTTCATACATATTAAATAATCTTTGATGTATCGAAAATGATGTTCCCTGATATTGACTTCAAAATCGATATATCGTTGTACATTAACATCAGTCAATTTTTTTTCTAATGATGTTATTTGCTTGAGACAATCATATAAAGAATTCCATCTAGTTGCAACAGGACGTTTTAATGCACACTTCAAATACTTTTTTAGAGCTTCACGCTTCTTAGGTGATCTCAATTTCTTCCAAAGCTTTTCGCATTCTTGGATCGTCTCTTCGTGCAAGCGTTTTAATCTAGAATCCTCTTTTATTATTTTTATCGTATCACTTGAAGCTATAAGATGTAATGTGTGACTTGCACATCTCAGATGTCGAGGCAAAATGATATTGATTTCATCACTTATTTCCTCGTTATCTATAGAATTATCACCATTGTCATTATTATCATCATTATCACCATTATCATCATTATTAGCATTATTATCATTATCATTATAATTATCATTAATATCATAATTAGTGTCACCATAATCCTCATCTATCTCATTAATTTCATCGTCACTCATTTCAGTTTCTTCAGGATCATTCATTTGTGTTTTTTCCAATTCATCTATATTTGCCACGTTTGATGGACCATCTTTCAAAATAGTGCAGCTGCTTATACCAAACATTTTAAAAGCTTTGACAAAATTTGATCCATTGTCAGTAACTGTCGCAACTATTTTTTTATAATTTAATTCAAATAATTCGTTTATTTTATCTAATTCAGTAGCCACGATTTCAGCTGAATGAGTTCCTTCTATTCTTTTACAAGCTAGAGCAGCAGATTTTCTCTTCAAGGTTTTCTCACAAAGCTATAAAAAACAATTAGTATAATATTAGACATAGTGAGTTTTAATCTTGATAATTTTAAAGTTCAGGGATATTTACCCAATGAGCTGTAACACCGAGAATTCTACGATCGGGTGCAGTCCACACATCCGCTGTAGTGCAAACATATTTAACATTTTTTAGTTCGTTTTTTATGATTTCCATATGTTCATTGTGAATCATATTAATTTTTTTCTTTACAACTTTGCGAGTTATATGGCGCAGAGGTTCGTCTCCATGCTTTATTCTGAAGCCTATATAATATAAATTGTATTTTTAGAGATTGCAAATACATTAATGATTGAAAAAAGAATTTATAAGAAAAATTTACTCACTGTCAAACATTTGTCGGAACGCTGGAAGCTCAACAATGTTAAATGGTGATATACTCTCTAATATAAAATGAACAATATTCTTCTCGAACACTTCTTGCGAGAAAGCGCAAGTTGTTCTGCGAATGGTATTAAATTTTTCCATGCATTCCCGTTTAGCTTTTTTGTGAGCTTCATATTCGGGAAATAAATCAGGATGTTTTCTCTATAAAAAAATAAAAATAACTATATGAAATAAATCTCTTTCCCTCTCTCTCTCTCTCTCTTCACATTTTATTCTACATATGTATGTATATATTTATTTAAAAAGTATTTTTAAAAAATTGAAAATTAAAGAAACTCACTTTCAGATGTGAAACGTAATTTGAAGAGATTTTTAAGCTTCCTCTAATAAGTTTTTCCGGTATGCAATGAGTGCACGCGGCATATATTATAGATCCATTTTTAGAAGATTTTTCGACATTTACTTGAAAAAATTTGCCATCTAAATAAGAGGTTTTATTGTACTCTTGTTGTAAATTGATTTGTTGGTTAGCAGCTGTTCCGAGACTATTAATCTGCTCATTGCTGAAGTAAACATAAAAAAATCAATTAATTATTTACATTTGTGTTTTTGTTATCAGTTTAAATAATAAACTATGTTTTTATTGAGCTAATTTGGAAAGCATAGTTTTCTTACATATATTATCTAGAAATTAAAAATACAACATTATATTAAAATATTTACGTTTTGGCTGCAGTAGTTTGCGTTGACATATTTTTGAAGTTTGCCGTTTTAATCTGAAGTTTGCCGTTTAACATTTTTGTTAGAAAAAAATGTCATGAAAATAAGTGATGAAATCAATATCATTTTGCCTCGACATCTGAGATGTGTAAGTCACACATTACATCTTATAGCTTCAAGTGATACGATAAAAATAATAAAAGAGGATTCTAGATTAAAACGCTTGCACGAAGAGACAATCCAAGAATGCGAAAAGCTTTGGAAGAAATTGAGATCACCTAAGAAGCGTGAAGCTCTAAAAAAGTATTTGAAGTGTGCATTAAAACGTCCTGTTGCAACTAGATGGAATTCTTTATATGATTGTCTCAAGCAAATAATATCATTAGAAAAAAAATTGACTGATGTTAATGTACAACGATGTATCGATTTTGAAGTCAATATCAGGGAACATCATTTTCGATACATCAAAGATTATTTAATATGTATGAAACCTTTAGCTATTGGAATTGATAAAATTCAAGCCGAGACTACATGTTATTATGGTTGCTTAGTGCCACTTTTATTAAGCATAAATAATAAATGGACAACAATGCTTAGAAGCAACGAACTTATATATTGTAAAAAGTTGGCAGAAGGAATGCAGTTACATTTATTAGATAGATTTAAAGATTTTTTTGAAATTCATGGACAAGGAGAAGCTGCTGCTCTTGTTGCGATAACACATCCACAATTTAAAGATAGATGGTTAGTTTGCCTAAATGACGATAAAAACAGAAAAGTGCAATTGATCAACATAGCATTTAATAATAATGAAAATTTTGAAGTTCCAGAAGAAAACATGGACTCAAAATTAGATGATTTTTATGATTTTGGCAAAGACGTTACGCAGTCTAATAGAAGATCGCAAACTTTTACATGCCAAGGGGAGAATTCGCTAGAAATATTACAATTTCTAAACAACCCAATTAAGACCTTAGATGTATTAGATCGATATCCACAAGTTAAACAATTATTTATTAAATATAATATTTGCTTACCTTCGTCAGCGCCAGTAGAGAAACTTTTTTCGTACGTTACTATGATTAATGTAGCTAAATATAATAAATTAACAGACGATTCCTTCGAAAAAAGGGTTATAGCCGCTGCAAATGGGAGAACAAAGTGTAAATAATATAATTACATATGAGAGAGAGAAAGAGAGAGAGAGAGAGAGAGAGAGAGAGAGAGAGAGAGAGACATATAAGAGTAAATTTAATTATATTTAATGTTGATATATATTGCATGTTTCTCGAATTTTTTTTCATTTGTTCTAAAATAATAAATGTATAATGAATTAAAAATGTTCTGAATAAAAATATAGTTTAAAAACGTAAATTATTTATTATTTGTATTGTAACTATTACGTACAATAACTTTGCTAGAACCAAGAAAAAGATATTGTATATTATTTAAATTCAGTCATATTAATATCATCTATCAAACATCTTCGATTAAAATTAAAATTTTATTAATTGTTACACATTGTTAATTAATGAAAATAGAGAAATTATATCGATTTTCTTAAGTCAATTATTAATGGAAGAGATTCGCATTAAATTTACTATATTTAATCGTCAATTATATATTTTTTAATTGTTTCTGCTCAAATCAATTGTCAATTGAATTGTCTTCAATTGAATCTGTTTTTTTCAATCGTCCATTAAAGTAATTCTAATTAAAATTAACTCATTAATCGTTTAATTGAAAAATTTTTAATTAAATTAGCTTGTATTAATCGTTTAATCGATCGCTCTCCGATTAATTTCGTTTATATCAATTGTCAATTAAATAATCTTCAATTGACTTCGATCATATTAATTGTTAATTAAGCGATCTTCGATTAATCTAGCTTATATCAATCGTCATTGTAACGATCTCTAATTAATCTTTCTAAAATTCATCGTCAATTAAAAATATTTTAATTACATTCGATTACATCTGTTTGTAATTAAATGCCATAATTAATTTAAAAAGCAATTAATTAATGACCATCTCTGATTGGAATGCTCATTGCATTATGTAAAGTTGGGTGCGACCAAAAATAGCTAATAAGTATCATCTTGCCTTCTAATTTTGATACGTCATACATATATAATTTAGTAATTTAAGTGGTCTGTTCACTTTTTTTGTATTAATTTTATTATTTTCTCAGTTTTATAGTCTTAAAAAGTATTCGTTTTTCAATAGTGTATTTAAACTTTTGATCAGTAGTGTACAAGTGTTTCCAAATGTTCTAGAACGGCTGAATATCTTCAAAAATATGTATTTTTATGTTCTGAGAAATATATTTGAAACAAAAGTTGACAGGTTAAGAATTTATTTAGTGATGTTTAGCAGTTTCATTTGGATTGCGTCACAAAAACCAGGTCAAAGTCACATTTTTAAAATAGTACATTCTTTGTGATTTCAGAATCTCATAGCTATTATCAAGAATTTTTCAAAATACTATAACAAGTTATTTTTCGTTAAGTATTTTCCGATTTACACTTCTTGTATAAATTTGACCCGGTAATTTCCGCATAACCAGGGCTGACGAGAGGGGGGTGGTGACGGGGTGATTTCCCCCGGGCCCGGATTTTTTTAAAGGGCCCGAAATTTTTGAGAATCCGAATTTTCTAAATGCTCATTGTTTTCAAAACATAGTTTCTTGTTTTTTTGTAAAAATTTTATCTAAATTAATATAGATTAAGAATAAATAAATTTATGTAACTAGATATATAAAAAAATAATTTTTCGAAAATGTTTTATAAAATCAAAGTACTACGTTATACAAGATCTAAAAATTATTTATATAATTTAAACAAACCAAAGAATGAATTGCAAGAATTAATAGAAGTAGATATAAGTTATAGGCACAGCAGCGGAATGAAATACCTGCAAAAGTTGGCTTTTTAAAGAATATTTTGCTATCTGGGCAGTTCTGTAGTTTCCGTATTTATAAGCAAGCGTCGAAAAATCGTGTTTAGATGAATTAGATGCGCTTTTATTTCTACGCGTCGCGTCGTGTTTTATCGCCACGTCGAAGATTTAGATGCGCTTTTGTTTATACGCGTCGCGTCGTGTTTTATTGCCACTGCGTTCGTCTCTTCATAGCATCTGTCCTGTCTGTGCTCTGTGCTTGTTCTCTCGAATTTTGACATGCAGGTAAGTAAATTTGCCTTTATTCATATTTTTGTTTTGGATCTTTTAATTCTGGTTCTTTTTTTGCAATGCTACTATTGTTAAAATTATTATTGTTAATTTTTAGGTGAATAAAATGTAGAAATGTCCTATTTCTATCATCACAAATCTGGTTCGCTAAAGCGAAAAGAACGCATAGATCGCGAACAGAGAAATTTAATTGCAGAAAGAGGACAGGCAACTCTTCCTGATTTTAATTTTCGCCTTAAGGAAAATTTAGATGTCAGCGCAAATCAAAGTCATGATTCAACTGAAAGGCGAGATAGTCAGTCGTTTCCGCGTACTTCTTCGTCCACGACAACTGAACCAGATTGTAACCAAGCTGAAACAATTGTTACTTTTGTTTTGTCTGATCTAGTGCAACTAGTGCAAGAAAATCTGTCTGTAGAAACTGATGTAAATTTTGTTGCAACGATTCAAAAGTCCACATCCACAGAACGCGAATCAGAAGAGCAACCAACATTTCAAATGCACTTGACTAGACATCTTCACAACTATGACATTGGTACTATAGAAACTGATTTTTTACTTCCACAACTAGTTGATGAAGTGATTCGCAGAGGCCATGAAAAAATGCCTTCTGCTTTTCCTCGTGATCGGTTAAACGAACGGTTTCCCGTATCGCTGCTGTTCAAAAACTTGCCTAATGGTGAAAAGGTGGAACGCGATTGGTTGGTTTGGAGCCGCAGTAAGAGTGCTTTATTTTGTCTTCCGTGTCGGTTATTTAGTACAAACACAGTGAATCGTTCTTATCTTTGTTCTCCGGGCGGATATTCAAAAAATCTGGCGTGGAAAAAGTTATATGAAAGACTGCAGCCACATGAGAATAATAAAGATCACATTCAGTGTTATGTGAAGTGGCGTGGACTGGAAATGAGTATCCGAAATGAATCTTCAATTGACAAGCTGTTGTGTAAACAAATCAAGGTTGAAGTTAAAAAATGGCAAGAAATTTTAACACGTATTTTAGATACAATTTTGTTTCTGGGAGAAAGAGGTTTAGCACTGAGAGGGAAAAGCCATCTTATTGGAAAGCGAAACAACGGAAATTTTTTGGGAATTTTAGAATTGATTAGCCACTACGATCCGGTATTACACGAGCATTTGGAAAAAGTGAAGACGTCTCAACAACAGCACCAGCGTCTGCAATGCCATTATCTTTCGCCAGACATACAAAACGAATTTATAGATCTCTGTGCTCGTCATATAGTATCGGCCATATTAAAAGAACGAGAAAAGGCAAAATATTATTCCTTAATTGTCGACGCCACACCCGATTCCGCTCACGTTGAACAAACTACTTTTATTTTACGCTATGTTCATTTAAATCCAGAAGAAAAAAAGTATACGATTGAAGAACGTTTTTTAGAGTTTGTTGATTGTAATAAGAAAACTGGTGCGGCTATTGCTGATTTGATACGTGACACTTTAAAAAAACATAACATTCCTTTGACTGAATGCCGCGGACAAGGTTACGATAATGGTAGTAATATGAAAGGTAAATATAAAGGAGCACAAAGCTACATTCTTCAAGATAATTCACTTGCTGTTTATTCACCCTGTTCCGGCCACAGTTTGAATCTATGTGGAGTAGATTCTGCCGAGTGTTGTTCCAAAGCCATCACGTTTTTCGGCGTCGTTCAAAAATGCTACACCATTTTCAGCAGCAGTCCGCAGCGTTGGGAAATTTTAAAAAATAAAATTGGATCTTCACTTCACAGCTCATCTGAGACGCGATGGTCCGCCAGAATTGACGCTGTAAAACCTTTTGCAAATTATCTTCCTGGACTTCAAAGTGCGTTAGAAGACTTGAAGACACTCAATTTGACCGCGGAAACTCGTAGAGATGTTAGTGGAATTCAAAAATACATTTGTAAATTTGAATGTATCTTGATGGCATCTATCTGGTCAAAAATTCTAAATGCTATCAATGAAAGAAGCATCGTTCTACAGGCTAGAAATGCTACAATTGACGTCGAAGTTAAAAATCTTGAAAGTTTACTTTCGGATATGCAGCAAATACGAAATCAATGGGATGCCATTTTACGCGAATGTGAACTAGTCGCAAGTGGGTTAAAAGGTACTTCGTCAATATTGTCTGCGAATAAAAGAAAAAATAAACGAGCTAAGACATTTTCCGAAAGTGAGGATGAAGATTCCACCAGTACCACTACTGACGAAGAAACCGATTTTAAAAAAAATACTTTCTTTGTAATTGTAGATTCAGTTATTGCAGGAATTTCTAATCGATTTACAGTTATGAATGATTTGAATAACACTTTTTCTTTTTTGTGGAAATTTACTACATTAGATGAAGAGGACATTCGGGTCGACGCCATTAATTTTGTTAAGAAATACGCTGTTGATGTGTCTAAAGAATTAATAGATGAAATAATCCATCTAAAACACATCTACAAAGCAAACTTTGAAGCCGATCTCTCTCCATTTGATTTGTTAAAAGCTATTACTTCTAATAAGCTAGATACACTGTTTTCAAATATTTGTGTAGCTTTACGAATATTTTGTACTCTGCCAGTATCTGTTGCTAGTGGTGAGCGTTCTTTTAGCATACTGTCCAGGATTAAAAACTTTCATCGCTCCTGTTCTACACAAACGCGTGTAACAGGATTAGGCACTCTTTGCCTAGAATCAGAATTGGCGAGGCAGTTAGATTTTAAAATATTAATTAACGCTTTTGCCTTAGCCAAAGCACGGAAAGCGCATTTATACTAAACATTTAACATTTAACCTAAGCTTTATTTCATAATATGTTATATTATTTTCTTGCAAAAAAATGTGTTCTTGCAAATATCTGGCAAATCTATAAAATAAAAAAAAAACGAAAGAAATTTGCAAGCATTTAGTTAAAGATGTTTATAACGTATTCGATTTACTGATTCGACCCGTTGATCTTTCTTTCCCTGCATTCTTTTTTTATTTCGATAATACCTACACAAAATGGGGGCCCGTAATTTTTTCTCCCGGGCCCGGTTTTTCTCTCCACGGCCCTGGGAAGAACTCGCATATTTTGTGTTAAAGAAAATTTTACAAAATATCTCCAAGTAGAACTAAATTTAATAGATAGATTCACAATTTCACTTCGAGTAGCATGTACTTTTAGTGGCAAAAGTTGTCTAAAATCACCACCTAATAAAACAATTTTTCCGCCAAAAGGAAAATCATTATTCATAATATCACGCAATGTTCTATCCATAATCTCTAAAGCATATCGTGGTGTCATTGGTGCTTTATCCCAAATATAAATATCAGTTTCTTTCAAATATTGAGCTTCTTTAGTTTGTATTTTAATGGCAGATGATGAATCAGCAAATAATGGCACCGGTAATTTAAATATCTTATGAACTGTTTTTCCAGTAGGTAATAATGTCGCTGCAATACCTGTAAAAGCCATTGTGCACACGCGTTTCTTTCTAATTCTAGCTAAATGATAAATAGTTGTGTATATAAATGTTTTACCTGATCCACCCGGACCATCAATATAAAAACAATTATTATTATTATTATTATTATCTAATCTATTTAATAAAAGATCAACTATCTCTTTCTGCTTCTCATTTAATTGTTGGTATTGCTTGGTGCCTATTTCCATAGCTTCTTCAAGTGTCATATAATCCTCCTCTGCACTATTTTCTATTAACTGTTTCATTTGTGAGAAATCAGCAAAACTTTTACCTTCAGCACGAAGCATACTATTAATTTGCGCGTAAGCTTTATTTTGTTCTTGTAACATACCAAAATGTCGAACGTAATCCTCAGACATTGCTTCTTTAAAATTTTCCCACAACTCTTCAGGATGTAATGGTTGACGTAATAATATGCGTACAAATAATCTACGAAGTTGTCGAGGCATCATCCATCCACCAGCTTCATAGCTCGTTTCCATTCATCATCATCTTTGATTAAACCTAACGCCAAACAAGCCGCTGAAAATGATTGATAAAATTCTCCATTTACAGTTCTCAAATCATTAAAACTTATAGCACCCTTTACTGTGAGTAATAATAATCGTAAATGATATAATTCTGTTTGTGCTGGACTAACGGAATATATTCGTCCTAAACAATTATAATGACTTTTACGTTTAACCCAATGCGATACATTTCTGCCATTAATTGTTTCTTTTTTAAATGTATAATAGCGTGGAATTTCTATATATAAATACTCTCTTGCTTCTTTATCTCAAAAGTTTAATGAGAAATAATCTATTAACATAGTCAGTTGATTTAAAACAGAAGTCATTATGTCGTCAATGTTTTCATTTTCAATTATAATATTTTGTTCATTAGGAAGATGGACTGGCAAACGCATTATAGAATGACTTTTATCTTGTAATTTCTTACCAAGAATACGCCAACTGGCTTCTACAGGTCCAACATAACGAACTTCAGTATAATTATGTATCTCATCATGATCAATAATTACATTTTCTGTTATTGGTTCAATGGTTAGAGCAGCAACATCGTGTCCTTTATAAATATATTTATACAAATATTTAACAAATAATTAAAATAGATTTAATACTTGAAACTACCTCAACGTTAATATGACAATTAAATATAATCGATAAAATAGGGCAATATGGAACAACATAACGATTATTAACTATATATCGGCCAGGGCGTTCAAAATTTCTATCATTATTTCGTCGACGATAATAAGGATAAGCATCTTCATCCATTTTAGTTTCTTCAAGAAAAGATTTCGGATAGTGTTTCGAACAACGTCCATCTACCAAACACCAATCACCACAAGGTCCATGAATCATATGTTTCATGATTATATCATGTAAAATACGATTTTCACATGGATCAGGAATTTCAGCAGAAATGTATTTATCAACAATTTGTGTGTGGAGTTGTTATTTTAAAATTATATTTTAAAGTAATTAACATATGAATATGTGGCAAACCACGTTTTTGAAATTCAATGACATACACAAACGCTGCTACTTCACCAAAAAATTTTTGCTTAACGATTAAATCAATTAAATAATCTTTTTTAATATTAAAAATACAAGCACAAATATCAGGTCTATCAGAAGCTTGTTGACCAGGCAATAGATTTTCCTCAATTTCACGCCATTTTGGATTGCAAGTCATTGTGATAAAAAGATCTGGCTTACCAAATTTACTACAATTGCCATTGCATCTTGATAATTTTGCAACATATTACGCGGCGACCCAATAAATGTGGAAGGAAGTATAACCATTTTTCCAATACGTCCATTTAAGTTATTCGCTGTAGTTTGTAAATAATCTCTTAAACCTTGATATGTTTCGGTACGTAATTCTTTTTGATGATTTTTACAGTAATCAATTTTATCTTTTTCCATTTTTACATAACTATCTACAAGCCATTGCTGAAATAAGCGACGTCCTAATAAAAAAACATTAAATTCATCACGGATAGCCATACGATATTTAATATACTGTCCTCTAGTTATTCGTCTATGACTATTTAATTTTGTTAAATCGCGATGCCATCCTGAAGTACCATATGGATAAAACAATGGATATATCCATGGCTCAACATTTGGATCCATAATACTAACTTTTTGTAAAATTTAAGTACTTCTATTACGTATTGTAACGCATGATTCTGGAATTTCTCTATCAGCAGTTGTGCAAAAAACAACAGCAACTTCATTAGTTCTTTGAGCATTATATCGACGTCGATCCATACCTGGTTTTAAAGTAAATAATAATTGTAATTCCGGTAATAATTCACCAGATTCCATTTCTAAACATCGTTGATTTTCTAATTCTTCACCCATCATTTGATAAATTCCCGCATTATATGTTCAAGGTTTTGTACAATTTCAAAATCTAAACACGAATTTTGACTAAGACGATGATTAATCGCTTCATTTGAATCCACAATGAAAAGTTGGCCATAAGTGGGACTTTCATTTTGCGCCGCATACAATGCTGTATTAATTTGATAATAAATTTGTCCTTGTATTTTAAAACAATATGGACCAGGACGTCTTCCTTGCAAATTAACCAAATTTGCATTAAACGAAGCAAATGAAAATGAACTATTATAACTACGAATATGTTGAAAAAAACTATTAGATTTTACATGACTTCCGTCAAATAAAGAATGAAGAAATTGAGGAAGTTCTGGCATTGGTTGCAAATACATTGCACCATGATTACAACAATCATGAAATAAATTTCCTCTATTAGATATTTTTTCAGATACAAAATGCTTTGCATTGCAATGAACGCAAAACACATTCATAGAACCAATATAATATTCAACAACATTATTTACTGACATAGTATTATTTAAACAAGGTTGATTTTTTGTCGTGATCGATAACGAGATTGCCATTCTGCAAAACGTTCCTGGCATACTGATACAGTATTTCCCGAATTTTGTTCTATAACTTTATTATCCAATTCTATTACATGATTATCACGTATTGTACCAGAAGTACAAACAATTTGTTTGTGTAATATTATATTATTTGATGATTGTTTTTCAACATTATCATCTAATTCTATTACACGATTATCACGTATTGTACCAGCAATACAAATAGTATGATTTTTATTATCAACCGATTTTGGTATATTATTTATTACTTTTGCAATCTGACGACGACGATGTTGATTTTCTGTTTTTCTTCACAACGTCGTCGTTGAAATTCTTCTTCTTCTTCTATAGTACGCTGTATTTTACATCTCAGCATTTTTATAAAAGTATTAATAATATATTAATAAATATACTAATTAACACAGATACGCTAATTAAAAAATATGCATACACACGTATTATAATTCCCGTCAAATATATGTATGTATTATACTATTAAAATTCACACAACTAAAATTTAATCATTTACACTTTACAAATATAAATATATACAAAAAAATATGTAAGTGTAATTCTTTGTTAATTAAAATACATAAATATATATTAACTATTAAACTTTAAACATATAAAAATTTAAATATACAATTCAAAATTTAATTTTTAAAATTTTAAACGACAAAAATAATATTAATATACTACACTAATAAAAACAAAATTGCATTAATT